TCAATCATTAGCTGGTAGAACTTCAGCTTTAGATCCTGCTCCTGATTATTTTCAAAAAACTTTGGGCTGATCTTCTTACTGATGATCTGTGTTCTAATGTAATCCTTCTTAGCCAAACATAATCTCATTTGCTCCAAGATGAATTCCACTTTTTCCCTCTTTTCCATAGACCCATATGTCTCCACCTACAAGTTTAAACCATATATCAAAATTACTTAAACAAAGATCTTTCCATCAAAGTGTTAGTCTGACAAGATTCCTGAACAGTCTTCATCCAGAAAAGACCCTTGTTTGCCAATCTATCAAAATCCACAATTGGAATTCTGGAAATTTTTATTATTTGCAAGTGTGTATTTATTCAATTTTTCCAAATAATAGATCATTCAATAAAACTGGTTTAATTTACTTAAAAACATTTTATCTATATCTACTTGATTTGATTTATTGTCTAAAATATCTGACAGCCTACATACAATGGTGATTGAAATCACCAGAGTGCAATTTGGTCTGAAAATCAAAAGTACAGGGTTGTCATTAGAAGCGATGAGGTGGCAGAAACCCACCAGCTGTCAAACCATTTTGGTGCTCAAAGAGAGATATAAGTATTTTTGAACTGATTATTCTAGCATCAATGTCTGGATAACAAAGGTTATTCAAATATGTCCCAGAGTGCTAGAAATAATATCTCAGAGAGTTTGAAATTTCAAATTTTTCTGGAGGAGTATGCCCTTGTACCCCTCTGCTTCATCATTGGTTTTCAAAATGTATAATTTTGTTTCCATTATCATACCTGCAGCTCTTGTAGGATGTTGGCTGCCTCTTTACATTAAAAGGAAATAAAATGAGACAGTTATTTATGGCAATGGTAACTCTTTATTTGAAGTAAGACTTAGATAAGAAGACTTTTTTATTAATTCATTTACACCAGTTCAACTCTAAAAAAAGATATCTAAATAAATGAAGTTTAAACCAATACATTAAAGTCAATACATACAGGTGCATATTTGTTTCAGTCCATTAAATGTACTTATCACCACAGATTATTATTACTACTGGAAAAAGTATAGAAAAGAGAAAAACAAAAGCACAGGTGCACATGGCAATTGATATCCTTTCTTACATAAGGTTTGAAAGGGAATGGGGTAAAACAAAAATTACCTGCAATATCTCCCTGCTCTTCCTTTATTTTAGCAAGCATCCTTGTCAGACGGGCCCTCTCAATCTCAACATATATCTAAAATGAAGTAAATGTTGCTATTAAAATTACTGTCAAAAATTTTATAAGTTTATTGGCTCATGATTGCCAAACTTTGTCCTAGTTTTTCCTAACAAAAGGCAAATTGTCAGTATTGCTACCTCTCCTCAATGGATGCTAAGCCTCCTTGTATTACCCCTCTTGTGTGTCTACATTATCTGGCGAACAGGTGATGAGAATACTCAAACTTATCAGTTAGAAGTTGTCATCTAGATTTAGCACCAAACCAATTTAACAAGGAGAATGCGTACCAGCTAAGAAGGACAATTAACAATCAGATCTTGGAGGTTAAAGGGTTAAAGTAACAATACATCAGAGAGCCCTGAACTTTGACCAGGAAAGGTTAATACATCATAGATGATCAGGTTCTTTTGGCACATTTTATTAGGAATAGGAAAAAAATTATTTCAAAATGAATTCCTACAGTGAACCAGACTTACTTTGAAAGCACTACATGGAAATGGGGAGAATTTATACATTCTTTTACACTGTTTACCCAGATAATAAAAGTTACTAAAGGGTTAAAAATTTACAATGCTAGCAGCGTAAGCTAATTTTACCTTGCCTGCAGTGACTGTTCTGAGAGTGTCTATTAATTTCAATTTAGTTTCTAGATCAGGAGTTTGTTCCACATAGGTAAAAGCTTCCTGGATCATTTTGGTTACAGCCTGAAAAGAATGACACAAAAATCTGTAAACATATCTAATATGGTGAGAAACAAGCTACAGCTGAATTTGTTAAGCTGTACCATATTGAGCAGTCACCCTGTATTCTGCAGCTGGTTGTCAAAGTCCCCAAATTTGTTTCCCCTTAATCACTGTAATTTTCACCTCTATTAATGCTTTAACTCCCATGAGTGACCAAGATAGAATTTCTTCTCACAATATCAATACAATATCAAGCAGACAAGTGATAAGAATAAAGAAAAAGATCAATTTGGGGATAATTAATTGATCCAATACTAGATTCTCTGAACTAACATTATAAGAAATGTATGGTTGACAGTAAGGAGAATTACAAATTTGAACTTGGAGTTAAAAGGTTAAGCTGTCATGGTTACTGATGAGTGAGTCTCTATGGCCTGTTTATATTTTCCTTGACCTGTATTGAATGGTCACTTATTGCAGAACCACTTAAATAAAACAAGGAATGATATCTCAAAATTTAATCCATGTTTTAAGTAGTATTTTTGAGCAAATTTTTGTTCCTTAAGTGGTTAACTAGGGCATAAAAGGATGTTTTCTATTGTTTTTTATAACACAGCTATTCTATGGAACCTGTATAAAGCAGTCAACCTGTATTAACCAGTCACCCAGCCATTCCCCATGGGTGACCACTTCATACAGGTTTGATTTTAAGTTCTTGCACCCATCCATAAAATACACAACCAAATATCTACTATTCCCTTAAACACTTGATCAAAATGTCTCCCTCTCCCTTGGTCAATTAGAACACTGTATAAAACTTTGGACTACAAATTAAGTATTGTAAAATCTCTACCTGTTTAAGCTGACTCCTTCTTTTTGTTAGGATCACAATATGTTCATTCAGTGCATTCCAGTCTTTGTTCTTGAAACAGAGTTGGACTATGCAGACTAAAACACGACTTGTGGAATGCATGTCTGCAGCCTATAGACAAAGAGGAACTAATGCGTATTGTAAACTAAAAACATATGTAGCAAGCAACACAATGTAGATAGAATTCAAAACTTTTCTTCAATAGAAACTTGATTTCAACCCTTTTTCAGCTATGTAGGTATTAAATTTTTACTGTTACATTTATCTCATGAATTCTAACCTTAATCAATGCAAATGATGGCTCTTTAGATTAAATTTTTTTAATGACAGATAAGATTTTTACACTTGCTTTAATTGCATTTAAACATCTTCAACAAAACCTGGCCTCTGAAATTTGGTTCCCACTAGTCCAATCCCACTTTCAAGGAAACATACAGCTAACAATTCATGACAAAATGAACCCTGTGAAGATTTCGATCGTCTATTATTGCGCTGATAACTTAACCCCAAGCTGAGGAATATTAATATGATTGACAACGGACATTAACTCAAAGGAAAACTCATTTTACATACCGTCCGAGTTTGCTTCTCGAGGGCCAAAAGAATCTCTAGGGCTTCATTGAGTTTTCCATCCTGATGAAAGGATACATAAAGAGACTTTTCGTGAACCAAATAATATGTCTAAGTGTGAATAGTTTTCGCCCAACACGTGCAGAATGCAGTTGTTACATAGGACATATAGAGACAAAAAATTGGTTAGAAAAGGTAGCTACTTACGGATGCTAATGCTTCGCACTCTGGTATTCTCTTATCTACAGTTTCACTGTAGTCAATCTCCATTTTAACAACATTTCCTTTCATATCCGTAGTAGTCGCCATTTTGAAAATTTAGTTGTCTGACAGTCAGCATTCCTGAAAAGGATCATGGGTAGGGTTAGTCAGCACTCGTGACAGTCCTTTACATAGCCGAAGTTCGCATAAGGGCAATCGCATACATTAACGCTATGAAATTGTCGAACTCACGGTAAACGTGCTCGAAAGTTTTCTTCAACCACGGTTACAATAAAATATCCAGTAAATGAAAAGTCTAACTATGTGACTAGTTGGATAATTGTTATGCAACAGTGTGTAGGTGAAGGTCAATGAATTTGGGTCATTATGAGACTGGGGAGAGAGAGGAGGGAAACCATTTGCACCTTCCTCAACCATTTCACACCTAGATCAAATTTGTCATTCTCCTCACTGTCAACCATACAATTCTTACAAAGTTAGTTCAGAGAATCTAGAATTGGATCAACTAATTATCTCCAAATTGATATTTTTCTTTATTCTTTTCACTTATCTGGTTGATATTGTGTTGATATTGTAAGGAGAAATTCTGTCTTGGTCACTCATGGGAGTTAAAGGGTCAAGTGCCTCACTTTCAGCAGGGGAACTTTCAGAATTTACTCTCAACATCTAGAGTGATTTTGGGGGATCTTTTTATTGGATCAGTTCCCTGTAGAAATACAGATACTGGAAGTGAAAGTCTCCTATCTTGGGATTAAAAAGATTCAAATCAAGTATGGGTGTGTGCTTAATGAATTTATTTGTTAATGGTGGGGCCCAACCCTCACTCATTGAACACTTTCCTTGTGTTCGCAGGAAAATTGCAAAGTCATTTTGGGAGCTAGAACATAAAATTGAAGGAAATGATTCTCCATATTTCTTAGTTCCTGTAGCAATATTTGGCTTTGGAAAATAATGTCATAAATTTTACTGCCACCTTTGGCAGTGAAACAAGGAAGAATGAAAATGTCTTTTTCTTAAAAAAATTAGATTGATCCAGGAGGCAGTAGCCTTAGTAGTTTTTTAATGATTGGAAACAACAAGAAGTTCAATTTTTTTCAACTGCAGTCAAATCAATCAATAGATAACCAAATAAATAAATAAAAAACAAGCTTGCAAGCTTCTTCGAAACCAATTGTTCAGTCATATTTCCTTTGTTAAATTATTGACCGCAAAGAATTTAGAATTAATGAGATATTAAATAACCCACACATCTACAGTTTTGTACAGAGTTTTAATACACCTTCAAAACTCTACCAATTATACATTGTCCAATTTAAAATACCGTGTATTTATTAATATGTAATCAACGTAATATTATAGCTCTTTCCAAAATTTATACAGTCTTAAGTTGATATTATTTTAGGATTTTTTCCACACTGTAGCAGTAGGTTACTAATCCAGTGTAGCAACTGAAACAGAACTGTTCAGTAGTTCACAAAAATTTAGAAGCACTTCCGGTGTACAATAGATGGACCAGATTCATCATATTCCTGTTTGGAGATCCACATCTGTTGGAAGGTTGATAAGGAAGCCAAGATGGAGCCTCCAATCCAAACAGAGTACTTGCGCTCAGGAGGAGCAATGATCTTGATCTTCATGGTTGGTGGGGCAAGAGCAGCAATTTCTTTCTGCATTCGGTCAGAAATACCAGGGTACATAGTTGAACCACCAGAGAGGACAGTGTTGGCATAGAGATCTTTACGGATGTCAACGTCACACTTCATGATTGAGTTGTAGGTTGTCTCATGGATACCAGCATTTTCCATGCCGAGGAAAGAGGGCTGGAAAAATGCTTCTGGGCAGCGGAATCGCTCGTTTCCAATAGTGATCACCTGTCCATCAGGGAGCTCATAGCTTTTCTCAAGGCTGGAGCTTGAGGCAGCGGTCTGCATCTCCTGTTCAAAGTCCAAGGCAACATAGCACAGCTTTTCTTTGATGTCACGGACAATTTCACGCTCAGCAGTGGTTGTGAAAGAGTACCCTCTCTCTGTAAGGATCTTCATGAGGTAGTCAGTCAGATCTCTACCTGCTAAGTCAAGACGAAGGATAGCATGGGGAAGTGCATATCCTTCATAAATTGGTACTGTGTGGCTCACACCATCACCACTGTCCATAACAATACCAGTGGTACGACCAGAGGCATACAAAGACAAAACAGCCTGGATAGCTACATACATAGCTGGTGTGTTGAAAGTCTCAAACATGATCTGCAAAACAACAAATCAAGATTGACATCAATAATTGTCACTGAAATCCAAAATTTGAAGAGAGTCTCTATATAAGTTGAATGAAAATATCTATTTCATCCCCAGATTTAGCATGGTTGTTAGAGGGGGTCCGGAAGCCTCTCACTGGAATTTGGGTTGGTCGGGTGATAAGTAATTTCCCTCCACAAAGAGAAGATCACAGGATGCCAAGTAGACCCACACCCCTTAGTTACATCGTTGATCACTGACCGAACTCAAAATGAAAAAGGAAGAAGTAAAAAAGGACAACATAAATTTAGTTTACAATCAAACACGGTCAAATGATTTAGCGTTCTGAACAAGTAAACATGTATTGCGGAAACAATTGAAGCGATGACGGAAACAATCCTTTGATGACCGGTTCACCCAAACTTACGAAACAATAGAAAATAAATTCATAATTCAGGGCGAGGACGACTTGATCATACTATTTTCATATGCTATTTGTCCGATCGCGCTCGTTTCATTACAGAATATACACCCGTGGATCATGAACGAAAAAAGGGGGTGGAGTGTCATTCTTAAGTCCAATTGGGGGCGGGATACAATTTTTCTTTACAGTTTTAGTAACATACCTGGGTCATCTTTTCTCTGTTTGCTTTAGGGTTCAGAGGAGCTTCTGTCAGGAGAACAGGGTGTTCTTCAGGAGCAACTCGAAGTTCGTTATAGAACGTGTGATGCCAGATCTGCAAAACAATACAAAGTAATTTTTAGGATCGAGATTGAAGAGAAGATTTTAAATTAATTTCCAGGTTAGCGCATTTCGTTGTTTACCTTTTCCATATCGTCCCAGTTGGTGACGATTCCGTGTTCTATGGGATATTTCAGTGTTAAAATTCCTCTCTTGCTTTGCGCCTCATCGCCGACGTACGAGTCCTTCTGGCCCATACCAACCATCACTCCTTGGTGGCGAGGACGGCCGACGATCGAAGGAAAAACAGCCCTCGGAGCATCATCTCCAGCAAAGCCAGCTTTGCACATACCAGAGCCATTGTCTACGACCAAAGCAGCAACGTCTTCGTCGGCCATTTCGTTGGGAAGGTTTATCGATCGAGACACTGAGATATCAACCACGAACACTGAATGATGTCGGAGGTAATAGGACGTACAAATGTTATGGTACCGCTATATATACGAGTGTCACACAACAGTAAAGTAGCATGTTGTGACCAAATTTGGTAAAAATTTGAAACTGTTCCAGGATCAGTCGGAACATGACAGGGTGACGCAAGTCGGAAAAAGGTGAAAAAATTTCCTTATGCGGAAACGTGTAATTTTTGCACTTGATCATCATACGAGCCAGTTTCGATCTTGCATTTCAAGGCTATTTTCTCGTCAACTTTTAGCTTAAAAATTCGAATAAATCGGAAAAAAAGAAAAGAAACTAATAATCGGTAAGTAATACGGCAATTCCAATCTAAGATCTTTCAACTAAGCGGGTTGCCGAACACTGAACAGTGGGTTGTATCCCGCGCCGCAAACCATTTAAAGCTGAAGAAAAAAATTAATAACTAAATGAAATCTCGTGTAACCTCGATGACTTTTCATCGAAATTGTTTCCTATAATGACTACGAGTCACTACTTGGGAAAATTTCAAAGCACAGTTCCCTTCCGTTAGTTATTCCTTGTGGGGGATTGTACGGCTCCACGTAAGTTATGTTAATGCTCTCTCGGCACATTACAAAAACAAGCAATTAATGTTTTAATGAGCGTGTTGACAGCTTGTCAAAATAAACTGGATTTACATTGACCTCTAACATTGAGCTCATATCAATTGCGAAATGACATAAAATCAAACAAAAAAAGCGATCTTCTACCATTTATCACAGCCGTTAAATATGATAGTATTTTAGACCAAAAAAAAGTCAGTTTTCTTTATCCTACATCTTTTTCATATAATTATTTCCGGCTTTTGTTTGGGAGTCGAATTCTATCCAGAGTCTTATTTTTTCATATTTCCGAGGTTCTTATGACTATCCCTGTATGAGTAACGTATGAAAAATGCTTTTTTTTTTTTCTTTCTGAACGTAAAGCACATTAAAAATGTTGCACGCCTATGACTATCCGCTCCTCCCCGCTAAGAAATCAGGAAGGGGACGGGTGACCGCAGATAAACGGACAGGCTCGGCATATGAGTAAATACTTAGAAGTTGGTTAAAGCGTCATAATAATCGATAAGAGCTTTCAGGGCATTGGATGTAAATCGAAACCAGTTAGTGTAGTAACAAAGTACACAGGAAACATATCCTAATCCTCATCCGGCTCAGGCTGACCGAAATAAAATGTGGGGACCAAAATATTTCAACAGAGGGTTTTATACTAAAGTCTCCCAGGAGAAGGGACTCTTGCATCTTACTAGTATTAGGGCAGCGTTTCAAGTAATGTATCGAAAGTGATTTATTGTGGGTGATGTGTTGTAAAGTAGTTTATGTATTTTAAGTAATATATGTCGTAAATAAAGATTTGTATATATAAATAAACCCCTTGAATTATGTCTTTTTTTTTGTTGATAAGGAATGGGGTCGGTCCCATCCAGCGATGACCACCACCCACCCCACACCCTCTTTAAACGGGTCGTAACCGTAGCATTCGCGAGTGTCTCAAATTACAAAAGGGAGCGAACTCAACAAATAGGGTTTCAGTAAGGTTTTTTTGATGCTACCCGTAATCAACAGATCTTGGAGAACCAAAATATGAGTGGCAAAGACAGTGAATAAACTGCAATATTTAAAAGAAGCAATAAACACGATTTTATCACTCAGATAAAAAAAAAAAAAAAATGAAAAGCGAACAGGTTTGAGCAAATGCTCAATTTTACTTTACCGAACTCTAGTTTGTGAAATGAAGTTTCAGTTTGATGCATAATTCTGGGAACACGCTGTAAAACGCACTGCACATGAGTGCAAATTTTAGCATCGGTCAATTACGCATTTCCGGTTACGTATTAAAAATCCAATGTAAACAAGATAAAATCCCGTACCGCGAAGTTTGAAAACAAAAGTAAGAGTTAGCACAAGAAAGTAGGGGAAAAGTTTGTCTCGTTGAAAAGTTTGTTTTTTCATTTGAGTTTCAAGCACTTGCACCAAGGGGTTTGATGTTTGCACCAACAACAAAATATGAAAGAATTTCGGGCGCGTTCGCGCTCGACAAGAGCAATTTTTTCCGCGTAGTTGTTTTTGTTGCGTTGGTTCGGTCTTGCGGTTCCTTCGCAGAAAAATGTGGGAAAGCCAAAAAAAGCAGCCACAAATGTGCCGACCGAAAGTATTTTCTGTATGAAGATTTAACTGATTAATCTGAACAACCGAACAACACATAAAGAGCGCACACAACTGTAAATGCCCGAAGTTGACGCATGCCTATACGTTTTGCCGCTAGGTGTAAATGCTAAATGAACCCAGTCCTAATCGCGTACTTAGATCCTATCATAGCTACCGTGGAAGGTCTGGGTACGAGATTAATCCAGTTCGTTCTCCAAATGGAAGCCATTGAAATTGTTATGAACAGTTATCAATCAAAATTATCTGTTGAATTCATTACCATATTAAGTCAAGGAAATTACCATATAAGGTAATAAACTGACCTAATTAATCTGACCTCCCTCTTAGTACCCCCATTTGCTCTCTGTTGCGTATGTTCATTAGGCCAATTAAAAGAGTAGATTGAAAGAAATCCTTACTTTTTAGGCTGCTAGTGAAAGAGAAAACCTTAAAATGGCTGATGATGATATTGCTGCGTTGGTTGTAGACAATGGCTCAGGTATGTGCAAAGCTGGCTTTGCCGGGGACGATGCACCTAGAGCTGTCTTTCCGTCGATTGTTGGTCGTCCTCGCCACCAAGGAGTGATGGTTGGTATGGGCCAGAAAGACTCGTACGTCGGCGATGAGGCGCAAAGCAAGCGAGGAATTTTGACACTGAAATATCCTATTGAACATGGAATCGTCACGAACTGGGACGACATGGAGAAGGTAAATTTTGAAACTAAGAAGATCTGCCCACATATCGAAGCGGGTCACTTGAATCTCTGGAAGTTCAAACACGAGGCGTTTACCTCACGTGTTTTTTTTCGTTACAGATCTGGCATCACACATTTTACAATGAACTCCGAGTTGCCCCTGAGGAACACCCTGTTCTCCTTACAGAGGCCCCTTTGAATCCGAAGGCAAACCGAGAAAAAATGACGCAGGTAAATTCAAGAAAATTTATCAGAGGGCTTAATGTGGGTGTTTTTTTTTTTAATGTCTTTGGTTTTGCGCATTAAGCATTTTGAAAAGATTGAAATGGCTCAGTGTCTAACATAAAACTTCCGTTTCAAATATTACTTTTCATCTAACATGGAACGGCTAAGGAACATTTTAGATTTAGGTTATTTTTCGGCGTGCCCACTTAAAATGTTGTAACGAAAAGCAACAAGATGTTCGGAGATGAAATTGCTTTCCTCATAGTTCAAGCTTAGGAAACTTCACTTTCACTTAAATGTTAAGACGAAAAAATGGCGGTATGAATATAGCAGACAACTCAATTTTAGAGGTTTAAAACTTATCTCATTCGTATTTTTTCAGATCATGTTTGAAACATTCAACTGTCCAGCTATGTATGTAGCTATCCAGGCCGTGTTGTCTCTGTATGCCTCCGGTCGTACCACTGGTATTGTTCTGGACAGTGGTGATGGTGTGAGCCACACCGTGCCTATTTACGAGGGCTATGCCCTGCCCCATGCAATCCTACGTCTGGACTTAGCTGGGAGAGATCTGACAGATTACCTCATGAAGATTCTAACAGAACGTGGTTACTCCTTTACGACCACTGCTGAGCGTGAAATTGTCCGTGACATCAAAGAAAAGCTGTGCTACGTGGCATTGGACTTTGACCAGGAGCTGCAAACTGCTGCTTCAAGCTCCAGTCTTGAGAAGAGCTACGAGCTTCCCGATGGTCAAGTCATAACCATAGGAAATGAGAGGTTCAGGTGCCCCGAAGCATTGTTCCAACCATCTTTCCTTGGCATGGAAGCTTCTGGTATCCACGAGACAACCTACAACTCAATCATGAAGTGTGACGTTGACATCCGTAAAGACCTCTATGCCAACACTGTCCTCTCTGGTGGTACAACCATGTACCCTGGTATTGCTGATCGAATGCAGAAGGAAATCACAGCCTTGGCGCCCTCCACCATGAAGATCAAGATCATTGCTCCCCCTGAGCGCAAGTACTCTGTTTGGATCGGAGGCTCCATCCTGGCTTCCTTATCAACTTTCCAACAGATGTGGATCTCCAAACAGGAGTACGATGAATCTGGTCCAGCCATTGTGCACCGCAAGTGCTTCTAAACCTTACCACCCTTGTTGATTCTCAACATTATTTATCCTTCCCAAAAATTTCAAACTTCGGCTATTACAGGAAATATTTCAAAATGAACATCAAGATGCCTTATCCAGTTGGTGATATTATTTACCTTTGGTTCTTAAAACAATTACTAGTTACTATTTGCAATGTTTAATAAACTCACACTCAGAACCCTGAAAGTTTAAATCTTTGATATCTCACCATGTACATTGCTGGTTTATGATCGTTTCAGTAAAGACGTTTTATCTTGTTCATTTTGTGTCCGCTCCTTTTTTTTTTTATTGATACCCTGCCTCTAGATAAGCCATCACCACATCCCAGCTTATCCATACCTTTCTTTATGGAAAGAAATCTTTTGGGCTCCTAAAATGATAGTCCTTGCACCTAAAAGCTTCCTTTTACTCTGCTGGGTTTCACACAAAAAAGAGTGGGTACTATTCCCTTGGGAAAAACGGCAAGGACATGTCCCCGTTAGATTCCAATGGCATCAACATCAAAATTTGAAAATGAGTGTTTACAAACAGTGTTTCTAATAATATTGAGTAAGGAATGTCAAATGATTGTTGGTGTTAAAACTAAAGGAGTATTGTCTTATTTGACAAGTGTTATTGTCTAAGAAACAACACGAAAAACAGGTTGGCTGTCAATTTTTATTTCTCAGCATAAAAAATGTAAAGAATTGAGCAAAAAATTCTTTGAGGGCATCTTTCTTTTACTAAATAAAACAACCTTTCACGGTGCCTTTTGAATACATATTCACTAAGTTGGTGAAATACGTAAACCACATTTTTTGTTTCGTGTAGTATACTATTCAGTACACTCTATTTCTCTAAGATTCCTGCCTAATAGTCTTATTTATAAATCTGAAGAATAAGTAATGTCCCAAAGGGCAAATCCAACAAAAAAGTGTTGGAATGCTGGGTAACTTTCTCTATAAAAGTTGAAATTGATAACCAATCAACAACCTAAGTAGCTCCATTCTCTGGAAACACACACACACACACAAAAAAAAACCATTGAACATTTCAAGTTTCAAAAACTTTTCCTGCTAACATAAGCTAAGGGAAGAGCTATTAAATAAAATGAGTTTCATTTGCAGTTTCATATCAAAGATCTTTCCCTAATCCTCATTTTGAACCAGAAGCTCCTGTCATTTTGGGAATGACCCTATCAATATTGAAACTACAGATTCTGACAGGAAGCTTTTCCTTGCAATAAAACTCTATTTGTGGGACTGTATCCGATTATTTTCCCTCCCTATTTGGGAAATACTATTTTGCACATATTTTGCAAGTCTATTAAACTAACTACTCTATGTAAATTAAACTCTCCATCCATATATATTTACTAGTTGTACCTGTTTGTCAATCAATCAGTCATACTTGTGACCAAATTTTACACAGTCACCTTTTTTTTCCAACAATCAACACCCATACTATTGCTTTTAAGAGTCAGCAGTAAAAGTTCCAGTGTGTTCCTGAGTGATTGCTCTTAGGACAACAATTTCTGACAAATAAAGGGATCAACATGTAATTCATCCAGAAAAGGGTAAGAACCAAGGTAATAAAACAATAGACCACATGCAATGAGTGAATAACATGTTTCCCTTTATGAGATGATTAAAAAAATGTATGGGAATCTCTGGTAATGGGGAAATTGTTGACTGAATCATGTATTATGACTGAATCATATTTTTTTTATTATTTGCTCTGCAAATAATGAAAAAGCTGGATTTCTATTGCATTATAATCCACTTACATGCCAGAGCTTCACAACTGTACACCATTTGCAAAAAATATGGCAAACATTTGTTTCTTAAATACAAAAGTACAAAAAGTCATAACTTAAACTTCCAAAATAAACAAAGTTTTGTGTATATATAAAAAAAAACAAACCAAAAAGCAATAACAATCTGGGTGTATCCAGCTAAGACTGCTTTTTATAATAAATGTTTGACCACAAGCAAAAGAGGAAACTTAAAAAAAGTCATATCAAAAAAGCCAATATGATGAATTGGATGGCATCAAATATAAGTTACGTTATAAATTGTAAGAATTTTCTTGAACTATACCATTTAACTAGTGAAAAGTGAAATATAAACCTAGATCATTATTAGAAGGCATCAATAAGTCAAGGTCAATACATTTGGGCAGTTAGGCACAATAATATTCAACTGTATGTACACTTCAAGACACATTTCACAGAAGATATACAGCTGACAAGGAATCAAGATAATCAATATAATTATCAAAAAGAACCCTTAGTTCAATGCTGCTTGAGTGACTTTCTTTTTCCTGGCTTGAAGCATGTCATAGAATGGATCAATGATCATACTAGCCCTGAGAAAAAAAAA